CAGCTACGAAGTCACTAAGGGATATAATCCCATGTGACAACATCATACATAGGGTCTGTCATTGGTTGAAATGTCATTACTGGGAATCATTTCCATTCTTGCCAAAGAAACTTAGGATAATTCATTCTAGGATCTCAACATAAATAACAGCCCCACTTCAGAGGCTCCTGCCTACCTACACTTACGTGGGACCCCCGGAGGAACAGACCTCATGAAAGTTCTGTTAGTCATTATTATGTGGCAGTGATTGCATATTCATATTTCCTGAACAACTGAAGAGTGCGCTTCTGAAAAATAATGATATAAAGAAAGAAAGAAGACAGAGGAGCCAGGACAGGTGGACCAAAAGAAAATAGGTGGTGACTAGGCCCAGAAATAACTCAGTTCAGAATGGATCAGAGGCTGTAGAAAGTGAATCCAGTGATTAAAAAAAAAAAAAAAAAAAAAAAAAAAAAACCACAGCTGGTGGCTTTGAGGGGTTTGAATATTTGTGTTTAGTAGTGTTCTGCAGATTTTTAGAACTCTTTTCTCCAAGCAATAGAAGAGGCAATTTCTTCCTTGTTTGCCTGAGATCAAAGAAACCTTCCTGAGTGGCAACCTGCACAGGCTTTTTCTTGAAGGACAGGGAGTGGGGCCTGGAGATTGGCTTGGCACAATCAGGACTTGCTAAGTCATGTAGTAAAGGGATGAATACAGGAACAAAATCAGAGCTCATCCAGCACAAAGGAAAAGGAAATGGCTGATGGGAAGCAGCTAGCCATGTCTGCCTCGTGTGGCATTTATTAACCTTAAGGGGGGAATTATTTTTAAGTTGCATGAGTAAAGAATTGAATCAACATAGCACACTAATGGGATCATCAGCAAATTTCAAGTAATAACTATATATGTAAACAGTTACTGCTGACATGTAAATTTTGAAATTCTAGGGGAATGAAAGGGGAGGAGGGTTGTGGAGTGAAGAGCTGAATTCTCCACTGCTGTGATGAGGAACCACCTGCAAATGTCCAAAACGATGTTTAAAAAAATCATAAATACCAACAGAGCACATTCTTAGAATGGTGAAACTAGATATTGGGAAAAGCAGCAAAATGATTTGAAATCTGTGGCCACTGAGGACTTAGAATGGGAAGGGAAGAGCAAAGCATAGCAGTTTCTAGTTATGAGCCTTTGATCATCGAATTAAAAGTTAAAAATGTAAAACCACTATTTTCTTACGGAATAGTTAGAGAAAACTTCAAAGTGGGACGATTTAGATGATTCTGGGGAAGGACTGAAACTACGAACTGATTAAAAAGATTGACTTTGCAAGTTGGCAGTTTAAACTGAAATTTAAGATTTATCTGGGGAGATCATTATATCGGTTGCCTGGAGATGCCACCGGTTAGATGTTCTTGTTGAAATGACAGGATATCTAGATTGGAAATAAAAATTAGCAGGAGGGGCTGGTTTATTTGGAGCAAAGCAAGCCCAGGGTTTCCCTGTGGCCGAATAGGCAAATGGAGATGCCAAATCCTCTGTTCCTGAGTGCAAAAGAAGGAGTTTGAAGAAATTCTGAGCTGGGTGAATGAAAATGAAATCACAGTGTCAAAAGGGAGTCATGTGCTTTGACACCTCTGAAGCAAATTTTAAGATTTTCCAACTGCCTGTGGAACAGCATGTGAATTATCCAGCGTGTGCTTTCTGGTAGCATGCTCTCCCCCTGTTTTGTCTTAAAGAATTAAAAACTGTCTGCCTATCATTAGGCCTCTCAGAAAGCCTTCATCAGGGCCAAAAAAAAAAAAAAAACACAATGACAGGCAAGGGGATCTGCTAGATTAAGGTAAAGAGAAGTTGGCACCCTCTGTCCTCCTCTGGCTAAGTGTTAACTCACTAATCTCATCTTGTCTCCCTGTCAGCCGTTTAACACAATTAAAAATAGTGGCTTGTAGCTTTGTTGTGAGGACTAGAAGAAAACGCATCTAACACACCCATCACCTACCTGGTGGGTATTACATAAGAGGTAGTATTATGCCACTACACTAAAAAATATGTGCAGACTCACTGCTTCATGGCTGACTGGACCTCAGAAGGGAGGTACTCACAGAATAAGAATGAGTTTTGCTGCTGTTTGCTTTTGCTGGTTCTCAATTCTTCTGGTAGAAGAGTTTGCATTTCCCTTTTGCAGTAGCTTGGAGCATCTTCCTCTGGTACCTTGCCTTTTCTTCTGCTCATGTTCAGCCCAGCCCTGGAGATGACCTGTTTCCGCCTGCCCTCTTGTTATGTCATATCCTTCTCTCCATCCTATAACTTATAGAGCCCATCAATGCAGGATAAGTTTTTCATCTCTGTTTAGAGACTGGCTCTTTACATAGTAAAGGACTGGGGAGTGTCTTTTAGGCAGAGTTTCATATTTAAAGGAATTGGATACAATCAGAAAAAAAAAATGTTACTATGAACCATCTGCCAGGACATAAAAATAGTTTTGTTTTGAAAAAGCTAATGAGATAATACTATTCCTCTTCCACTTTATCTCCATGGTGCGTGTTCCTGGAGAGCAGATTCTGTACTTAACAGTCCCCCAGTACAAAGGAGGACTTGGATGAATGCAATGCAGTAGGTTAACAGTACTAGGTTCATTTTATTAAGAAAGAGCAGAGTTTCAAGATATTGGTATCATGACTAGAGAAGAGTAACACATAGACGCTATCATGCCTGATTCACACTGGCCAAAGTCAACCCAGAGTTCCTCAGCTGGATGTGGCCCAGGCCACTGGCTACCCTTTCTCTGCCTGTGCCTCCCCCACAGCACTATCCTTTCTCATCTTCACTGCACGTGGTTATTTCTGTTTTGCCTCCTTCATATCCCTCCCTGTCCTACTTTATTTGCAGAACTGGACAGCCCTTTAGGGTAGGATCCTTGACTTTTAGGATCTATAGATCCCTGCTGGCCCCAGAATGTTCACCTGAAAGACATTCAGCAAACTTTGCTGATACAACCTGTCATTTCTGATTTGGGAAAGACATGCCTGTGGCTGGCATTGATTCTCCAAAGAGATCCCATGCCCCCTTCAACTCCATGGAGGTGCAAGAGCCCTTGGCCAGAACACTGAGCTCCAATCACCTCTAGAAACTCTGCTGCCAAAAGAAGGTTAATCCATTTGCTATTTATTTACTCAGTACTGACTGGGTGCTAGCTGCCAAAGGTGACCTACGTTCTAGGAACAAAGAGGGCTAGGACAGCAATCTTCCCTATAGACAAGCCCTGTGGTCTGTAAGCACATGTAGATCCCCAGGGCCTGATCAGCTGCACCATGGAGCAGATGACAAGGAGGTCCCTCTTGTAGTCCCTCTTGTCCTCCTTTGTTTCAAAGAACCCGCTCAACAGGAACTGGATGCTCACATTTCTCTGAATGCCTATGCATCTTATTTATTCCTTTTTATTCTTTTCTCATGATCCTTATTTCTTTATAATGGATACAACTATTTTCTATATCCTTGTCTTCTCTTCTAGACTTTCAGCTCCTAGAGACCAGGATTTCAGCCCTGTTCACCACTATACCTGTCATAATACCCAGCAAAGTGTCTCATTCACTTCCTATTTGTTAAAAGACGAACTATTACTGCTTAAGAGGTACACAAAACTAAAACATATCACTTCCCGGCAAACTCTTATCATTTCCTGGCAAGCTATGCTGAAGTATTATATTAGGTACTTCCAATGATACAATCAGATATTCGGTTTGAAATTACAAAGTACTCCTTTTTATTACATAACAGATTTATATTTTCTTCTCATGTTTGCCTACTTTGTTGTCAAGGTAATAAATGCACACCTTCAAGGATCTATTTTGAAACATTCACTTAAGGATTAGTGAAAACATTCGTCTCTTACACAAATAAGCATTGACCTAAGTAAAACTACTCGTTGGGAGAATTTTGAATACTATTCAGAGAATGCTACAGAGTCAAATGTGAATCGGAAGAGTAAGTTATGACCAGCATTTTAAGAAATAAGAAAATAATGGAAAATATTAGTTGCTCACATTTCCATGGGTAAGAATTGTTTCCTGAAGTCTTTTTTCAGTTAAATGTCTGTATGTTCATGTGTGTGTACATGGACATACATTGTGTGTGTGCACATATATTCTTTTTTGAGCTACAGACAAAAATGTTAGAGCAACAAGCTGAAGGGATATTTCTGGCTGCTGGGAACCAAACCAAGTTCCTACTTTCAGGCAATTCTCAATGCTGTCAGTCTCAGCAGATGTAAGGGACCTATATTACATTAAAGAAGCAAAATGAGGTTGCTCATCATCCTTGTTCCCCCTTAGGGAAACCAGCCAGGCGGAGTCAAATGCCTGCTCTCACATAGGATTTTGAATCTCAAGCATATGACCCAGAGACCATGGTGATGGTGAGAGTGGATTCAGATGCCCTGATGAGTGGCAGCTGTAGTAACTGCAGCCACCAATGGCAGCCTTCCCAGCTGTGGGGGTTAAACCAGGGCAGAGCAGTGGTCAGTAGAGCATCTGGCCTCACCTGTTCTGCTGCCCCTGCTCAGAGCTCCCTGGCTCTTTCCCATCACCCAGGGAAAATACTCTCCCGATCAGAGTTACTAGACAGGATTTCTCTTGCTCACAAACATGAATCTTGAATGATAAAAATGTCACGCTTGGGAATTAGGCCCCTATTCTGTAGGATATGGGAAAATGATACATGGCTTTCAACAAGAAGGATGCCATCTGGTGAGGCAGTGCCACATCATCTGGATTAAGGATCAGAGTCCGCAGAGGATGAATAAACTAGTGGCCTAGACCAGGCTAAAGAGGAGGACCTGAACTAGGAGAGAAAGTGTTGAAGAGAAATCCCATTAACACCTTCTGCATGGACGACTTCAAAGGCACAGAGCAGAGAAAAGGCAATTCAAACGTGTATGTGGAAAGATGAGTGAAGACACAGCAACACACAGTTAAGGGCACGGGCTCCAGAGCCAGCCTCCCTATGCTGGAATCTAGACTTACCAGCCAGATGAACTTGGGTTTGTTACTTGATCTCTCTGTGCCTCAGTTCTGCCATCTGTAAAATGGGAACAATAACAGTACTTCACTCACAAAATTGTTTTTATGAGGTTTAAAATCAGTTAATATATGCAGAGGTCTTAGAACAGAACGAGGCAGGATGTAGCTTCTTGTTAAAGAGACTTAAAAATCACCCCATATGCTACAGCAAACTTGCTGCTTCAGGTCTCACTTGGGTAAGTGAACTTCCACTATGTTTCTCCTGCATGATTTTAACTCTATATTAGTTATTTATAGTTCTATAGATAAAGGTTTTTGCAAAAGGACCTGTGCACCATTAGAGTTTACCCTTCAAACATCTCACATTAATATTTGTGAATTTATTCACTGCTAAAATTCAATGATGCTCTATTATTATGTAGTATCACTGAGGAACTAAATGTTTCACCTAAATTAATTTTCTAGACAACTGAAGCATATCTAAGGCAATGCACTCAAAATGTGAATTATGCTAAGAGATAGCTTGAAAAATATATTGTACAATTTCCTACTTTCTGAATGACTGCATCAGTCAATGGTCATGTAATTTTTTCATGGTGACCACTTTGGACTCATGCTACAATAATAGTGATGGTCTTAGGAATTAACTACTGTAGTTTAAAGATATATTTGCCCTTAAACTATCAACTCAAATACAATTTCATTATAATCCTTGTACCTTTCTTTAACTCTCCCTGCATCTTTGCTATTACTTAATTATTACATCTTGCATCTTTTACTTTCTACTTCAGATGATAACTTTGTTTGGTTATATTAATGTGATATCATATTTATTAATATGAAATCACTTGCAATACATATCAAAATTCTGTATGAAGCAAAAAGTATGTAGTATAGAGTTATATAGTATATCAGTTATAGTATGGACAAGATTCACCAGCCAAAAGCAGGAAACTTGTGCTATACAGTATGGGGAATTCACTTAGCTAAAAGCTATTTTCAGATTTTTACTGTTAAGATAGTTGAGGCTGCCAAAACAGCACTGTTATTTTGACTAGTAATAAGTGACAGTGGAAGTGAAGGAATTAAAGAGTTCCCACAACTCCAGACATATATAATATAGCCTGGTTGACATCTCTACTGTATTAGTTTCATAGTGCTGTTTTAACAAATTATCACAACTTAATGACTTAAGACAACACAAATTTTTTATCCTCAGGTTTTAGAGGTCAGAAGTTTGAAATGAGCTTTATCAGACTAAAATGAAGGTACTAGCATGATTTTGACAAGAGGCAATTCAAAGTCTCCTCCAGTCTTCTGAAGACGTCAGGAGAGAATCTATTTCCATGCTTTATAAAGCCAGGGTTAGAAAAATGGATTTCACAAGATATACAGAGGTTGCCTGCATTGCTTACTTAGCTTGTGGCCTCATGCTAGAACTTCAAAACCTATCACTCCAACTTCTGTTTCAATCATCAGGTTTCCTTCTCTGACTTTGACATTTCCACTGCCTTCTTGTAAGGACCCCTGTGACTTCATTGGATCCACATGGACAATCCAAGAAAATGTCCTATCTCAACATCCTTAACTTCATCACATCTGCAAAGTCCTTTTGCTTATGTGGTAACACGTTGCCACGTGGAGATCAACGGAGGCTGCTCTTCTGCTTACCGTGTCAGCACAGATGTTGAGCAGATCTCAGAAGTAAACTGCTGATCTTTCCACTCCCACTACCCCTGTTCAAAACTTTCTACCTGCAATCTGCCTGCATTTCAGTTGATGCCAGGTTCACCTTTCCTGTGGCCCAGGGCAAATACCATGCAGTCACCACAAACTCCTCCCTTTCTCTCAGATTCCACATACAACCTGTCACCAGTGTTCTCTGGTATCCTTTCAAAACATATCCAGCATCTGACTACTTCCTCTATCTCCATGGGCAGTACCAACCCACACCACCATCTTCTCTCAGTGGGATCCTGGAACCACTGTCTGCAGACCCTCCCAGGTCCCACCCTACAGTCCACAGCTAGAGTGTCTTTTGAAAGTACAAATTATGTCTGTCACGTAACTCCTCTCATCCAACCCTTCCAATGTCTCTCCATCTCACTACAGTAATAAAGAGGCAAAGAAGAACAGTTTTCCAGGAAACGAAAGCCATTGGTATGGCTGAGCGACTGTGAGTGGGAATGAAATGAATAAGAGCCCATGAGTGAGGGCTGGGTACCCCAGGTGGGCAAGCCTGACTGATCCTAAGGACCAGTATTGAGCAGAGACTTGGCATTACCAAGTCTGCACTTTGGGGACTTAGCTCCAACCACATCCTGAGATGAGACAGAGTGGGTGGGGCAAAGGAATAAGAAGGGGACACAGACTCCCAGCAGAAAGGACAATGGCAGCAGAGAGAAGTGGAAGTGGGTAGCTGTGTGGCTCCTAAAGGAGGCAGAAATGGCAAACTCAGTGAGGGCTCAAATGTGAAGTCAAGGGTGACACCCAGGTTGGGACTTGAGTGGATGGGTATCTAAGGTGGTAGTGTTCTCATCAGCCAAGTGGGAAACTCTGCAGGAAGAGCAGCTGGTTCTGACCTGCTGATACCAAGGTGTGTGGGAGACATTCAAGACAGAATACTAGTAAGTGATTTGCCATATGGAATTGGGTGAAAAGTTAAAGATATCAGCTGGAAATATAGTCTTGCAAATTCTCAGTTTGCAAATGGTTACTTAAATCATAGAAATAGTTATTTTTTTAATCACCCAGCATGAGCATACCAAAAGAAAAGAGAAGGGGGCTTAGGACTGAGCCATTTAAGGGAAAGAGACATCTACAAAGGAGACTGAGAAAGAAGAGTTGGAGAGATAAGGAGAACATCTGCTAGAACCAGGTCTCATAGACAAATGAAAAAGAAACCAGAATTTAAACACTTCCAACAGATCAAGCAAAAAAAGAACTGAAAATAGTCCATTGGATTTAGTGTTAATTAAGCTTTAGAGACCTTGCAAAAAAATCATTCAATCAGTTCAAGCCACCCTGCACTGATTGGTCTATGAAAGGAGAAAGGGAAGAAAGCAAGAGAACTCTCACAAATCTAGTGAGAACTCTCACTAGATGCAGAGATGGGGCCACTGAGGGAGTGTCAAGAGAGAAATCAAAAGTCAAAAAAGGATTTTTACTTTTTCACTCCATCTTCTTCCTTTCCTCCCTTTCTTTCTTTAGGCCCTACTTGCTTCTAAGGTATCCAAGATATACATGGCTAAATTCTAATGGGAATAAGCGAGCAAATAGAAAACCAAGAGATTATAATGCATGAGAAGGAAAGAGAAGACTCCAAACATGGGTAGGAAAAGTCACCTTTGGGTCTCTACTCAAGTGGCACCTGTCAGATAACTATTGTTTGACACTGGAAAATAGTTCATCCATCTCTTTTCAAGGCACTAGAAATAAAACGGAGCTTCCAGTCATTAGTGGGAGTGGAAGCCACTAACCAAAAGACCCTGGATTTTATGTATCCCATGGGAAGTGATCTGCACAGGAACCAGGGAGAGGGTTCTGGGAAGACGACAGAGTAGGAAGCATCAGGAATCCATCTCCCTGTCCAAACAACAATTACACTTCCAGGATCTGTTCAATGTCACTATTTTGGAGCTCTGGAGTCTACTGAACAATCGCAACATCCAGGGGAAGTCTTGGACTTAATAAAAGTCAATTTCAAATCTTAACTCATTCCTTACACCCCAGCCCATGGCCGACAACCATGCATATGTTCCTGGAGTGGCTTTCACGTATCTTGTGGGAACCAGAACAGACACACTTTGTCTTTCAAATACTGAATATCAGTGTTTGATTGCTGGTTGCTGCTTCTGATCAGGGAGACGTAGATACAGAGGCAGGAGATATTATTGTTGCTCCTCTCAGATTGAAAGGGTTTCAATGGGACTAAAAAGGGCTAGCATTTAAAAAAAAAATCTATTTCATCTTTCTCTTTTTCCCCAGGTGAGCAACAGAAATTAAAGACCAGGACATTCAAAATCAACTGCATTTATGAGGAATATTGGAAAGGCACCACACATGCCTAGGGAAAGATGCAGGCTTTGATAAAGGCCTTCAGTTTATCTCAGGCTGACCCTCAGCACCAAGACAGCATACAATGATTCAAAACAAAACAACAAAGGCTGGAGAAGGGTGAGAATCTGATTCCCAAAGCTACCAAATTATTAGAGTCAAATGTTCAGTTCTCAACAATAACAAAATCATATGGTATACAAACATAAAAATTATGGCTCATTCAAAAGAAAAAGAGAAAGTAAGAGAAACTGTCCCTAAGGGAGACTCAAAGGCAGAGCCAAAGGGGAAAAAAAAACATTTAAAACAACTATTGCAAAGATGTTCGAAGAAGTAAAGGCAAGAGGAAGTCAAGAATATTGTGTATCAACAAATTTAAATATCAGTAAAGTGACATTTTAAGGTAAACAAAAGCCAAGGGAGTTCATCACCACCACATCTTCCCTACAAGAAATTCCGAAGGGACTCCTGAGGGTTAAAATGGAAGAATTCTAGACAGCAATTGGAAGCTGTGTGGAGAAATAAAGATCGCAGTAAAACTAAGTACATAGGCAAGTATAAATGTTAGTATTCTTATACCATTAGTTTTCAATTTAATATTTTCCTTTCTATATGATTTCAGAGATATGTGTGCTGAAAATTAATATTAGTTTGTATTTGGACACACAATGTATAAAGATGTAATTTTGTGACATCAAAACTAAAGAGGGGAGGGACAGGACTGTAAAAAAGCAGAGTTTTTAACCACTGCTGAAGTTAAGATGATATAAATTTAGGGTGTTAAGCATAATCCTTATGGTAGCCACAAGGAAAATAGCTATATAATATGCATAAAAGGAAATGAGACTTGAAATGTTTAAATACAAAAATAAACAACACATGAAAGGAGACATAAGTGCCAGAAATAAGGAACAAAAGAGTCATAAGGCATATAGAAAACAAATAACGTGATAGAAGGAAGTTTTTCATTATCATCAATTATTTTAAACGTAAATGGATTAA